TCCTCCTCATGACACCCTTTTAGATACCTGTAAACCACAAGGTGCCACAAGGACTGTAGTCCACGAAAGCTTATGCTCTAATAAATTTGTTAGTCTCTAAGGTGCCACAAGTACTCCTGTTCTTCTTTTTGCGGATACAGACTAACACGGCTGCTACTCTGAAACAAACTCAAAAATACTACCAAGAGAACAGGCGCTCTCTCACGTGGATCAGGCAAATCTAGGGCACTGCATTTCTCATTCTGCCTTTTTATAATCCACCCAAATAGAAAAGCTTCTCAGTGAGATCACATGGAAATAACTTGTTAGCATGTGGCCCCAGCCACTTTCCACCATTTATCTTTAATTTGCAGGTTTTCTCATCTCGGCCAGAGAAAATCTTTCAGGCTTCCATATAGGCAAACACTTTGATACAATCACCTTGTGCGTAAATCTGCTCCTGGGACAAAATTTCATTTCGTTCCTCCAAAATCTGTACAAGCGCGGCCTGGAGTTTATGAGGTAGGATCTCATCCTCGTCTGATACCTAAACAAAGAGATGGCTCTTATGGCACATGTATTACATCTCACATCAAGACAGACTGTCCACGACGAAGAGAGAAAGGGATGCTGGTGACATGCTAGTTTAAGTGATCATATCGGAGTTACTCTATGGAATGGTGTCCACATGTATTGACAGCATAGAACTGTGTGCCTTGTGGCCACAGAAATGAAAACATGACAAGCAAATATAAACATTTAAACCAGATTCTTGAAGCAGCTAAATTCAAATTCCCATATTACAGATACTCGATACAAAACGAGACTTTCACGTCTGACACACCCAGTATGCAGATCCAAACTCTGAACATGCCCATGATAAAACACCAAACAAAATTTATTGTGGAGAAAGAGCAAATTAAAAGGTCAGTCTTGGTGAGGCACTGATCCTTTAATACCTGTGTCTATCAGAATCCATGTGCTGGCTGCAATGCAAAGTAGAACAGTGAGTCAAAGAGAGAATTCTCAACGGGGGAAAAAAGGCAATAAGATCATATCAGTACCATAATGGAAATGGAATTGCTTCCGCAAGGACATTTATAGTCTCTGTAGGACTTTATAAACCTAAGTCAAAGAAAAAATGGGAAATATTGTCCTGTGAACCAAGAATAACTGAGATCAGGAAAGTTACTTAAACCTCCCTGCCTCAGTTTCCCCTTCTTTTGGGGATAATACAGAGTTGCCTCCTGGGGTGTCAAAATGCTTAGCCAAATTTGTATGGCACTAAAGTGTGAAGTGCTAGTGAAGTGATATTATTTGAAAAGGAACTATAATCAAGTGGAATATCCAGCATTCTAAAATTAACAAACAGCTGAGAGAATGCACTATGACCACTAGTCCCAAATCATAATGCTTTATTTCTACCTAGGGAATTGTTACACACACGCTAAACAATACTCTACCATGTATATACAGCAACTCTCATTTGAGGATCTCAAAGCATTTTTCAAACAATAGAGAATATTTGAGACTAGCATAAAATCAAGTGAGCAGTAGTGTTTTTTCAAAAAAACCAAATCTAGGAAACTAACTGACTAGACAACAAGGATAGAAACCTTGTGGAGAACAAATGCCCAGAATAGAAGGGAGGCCAAAACACAGGCAGGAAAACTGTTGGGAAACAAATATCTCTAGGCCCTAAACGGAATAAAGCACCTCAAAATGCAACTGGCAAAATTACTGACAAGGCTTTTTAATGACTTAAAAGTGTGATGCTAAACTATAAGCAAAAAGTCCCCTGAAAACTCATGCTTGGAAAAAAGATAATATGCTGATATTAAGATCATGTTGTTCCCCATAACTTTCCTACTCAAGTAAAAAGTAAAGGTTATGTTAATGAATAATTTAGGATGATTCATATATACTTAATTGTAATATTAAACTATGAAGAAAATTGCTGAATGGTAGAAAATAAAGGGTTACATTTTGTTAGTTTAATGCTGATGTACTGTTAATGATTTATAACAGAATGGAAAACAAAAAAATTATGAAAGTTTGGGTAAATGTATAACTGGCTATATAGGATGTTAAATAGTGTTGATTGAAGGAAAGCCAATGAAAACGTAATGTGTAAAGATATAAGAAACCAAGTGAATGAAGGCTCAAGCTGGAGAACACCAGTCCAGAAATTGAGATGACCATCATGAAGTGTATAAGAGCTTCCTGGTACCTTGGAAATCGGTAGCATGGGCTCCTACCTGTTCCGTCTTTTCTGTTGACTGTCTGTTTTTTATACATATATATGATAAAAAATTAGAACTAACAATATTGTGTTTGAAAATTTATAAAGGGAAAAACTGATTAAGCCTAAATTGAGTGGACTCGTGCCTCAGTTTCCAACCTTACAATGCCCGACCATCTCATTCCACATCAGAATCTGAGCTGCCTTACCTTGAACAGAAGGCCAGAGTGAGGTCAAAGCAACACGGAAGCCTAGTGTTCTTACTCCACCGAGAAAGCACTTACAGATATCTGGGCCAGTCCTAAGCATAAGCCAAGTAAGTAGTACCTTGATTGAGGGTCATGTATGCCATGCAAACTCTGGAACTTGCAGGCCAGTACCATCTCCCTCTAACAGAGAATCAGAAGGAAGGCACCACTTTGTCCTATCCTTTGAGCCCTGCAGATCTAGGTCTGTTTGGGCTGGTACTTGGTTGGGTTTCTTGCACATATTTATCCTGTGATGCCCTATGGAGTGACTCTTTGTCCTACATGCTGGGCAGCCATCAGAAAGGTTATTTCACTCACCTGTTGCAGAAAGCTGTCAGCACAAAGATCAACAATCAGTACCTAGGGAAAGAGGAGCAGACACATTAATCATTATTATGCCTAGCTGAACTATGCAGCTATAGAGAGAAAAGCACCAGTCACAGCACCACGTAAGCCACACATTTTACACAAACGTATCCAGCCTTTCAAATCAGTGAAAATTAAGGAATTTAGAAAATAAAAGCCTGTGGAACATCGATAAGTGGCTGGCAAGTCACCGACAGATTCTGTGTGCATCATATTAGGGAGAATTTAGTATGTTTGCAAAATAAAACAATCCACAGAATTCCTCCCACATGGTTGGCAGGCCAGCAGCATCTGAACTAGTCCTTGCATTTCCTCTGTAACATCCCCAAGTCTCACCTCTTCTATGGGCAGATCCTGCAGCTGCGGTAAGGAGCAAGAAAGAATGCCAATAAGGAATGGGGTTGGAGAGCAGACAATATCGATCATGGATGCTGGTAGAACAGGAATGTAGGTGTGTTGCCAGGTGAAGGGGTAAAGTGTTGCTACCACAGCATGGCCACATTTAGACAAGGTGCTAGAGGGAGAGAAAAACCACCTAATGAATTGTCAGCACATTAAATGGTCAGATCCCAGCTACAGAGTTAAGTGACAAGTGCCCAGTACTCAGGGAAAACTTAATTCATTCACACCAGAACTGAGAAGGAGCCTAAGGTCTCCATTTACACTGTCACTTATTCACATCCTGATCTTCAAAGGGAGCTGGGAACAGCAGCAGCACACAGCTGACAAAGTCAGTCTTGTTAGGTCACATGCTAAATGCTCTCGTGTCTCCTTTTGAAGTGCACCATTTAGACTCAACTTCTGATCTAGCTTTTAACAGGTTTGCAGTTAAAACTCAGGTTAAATTTTCACGTGCAGAATTAAAACAGTCTTGACTGACTGTCCATGGGGCCCAGGGCAGCCTGAAGATCCTACATCCACATGCCTAGAGCCTTGGGCAACTTGTGCACTCTTAAGCTCTTAGCACACACAGGACGCCAGGAAGCTCTTAAAAGGCAACTGTTTCAAAGAAATATAAAACATTAATTTGTTCAGGAAAAAGGGCACAGAAGCAGAAGGAAACACTGACCTTAAAGCAAGATGTGTGACTCATTTCTCACCTCAGATTGTCCGCAACAAAGATCACCCTCCTTTCCAGCAGGAGAGAGGCACACACCTGGATCAGGTGGCAGACGCTAAGGCACTTAAACAAGCGCTCGAAATCCACGTGTTCCAGCCGGGAGTCCAATGGACGGCAGAGTTCAATTACCTGAAAACAGAGCAGAGATGCAAGGAGTCAGAGATGCCCAGCGAGACTGCAATGTAGAGACAGACCTGGGAATTTGGAAATGTGTCTGAAAATGAAACAATGGATGCTCTACAAAAAGTGGGATGCAAAGCTCCAAAGTGTCCTATGCTCCGTCTCACCCTTGGAGAGTGGTGCAAGGTACTGAGCTCACCCCTTCTCTATAAAAGTCTCAAGAGTCATTTCTATTGTAGTTTAACATTCTTGGCAGCATAGAAAGAAACAATCCTCACTTTGAGAAATCTACAGCCAGCACTGCACAACACAACAGCGAACTGGTCAAGCACCACTATACCAGGCACACACGGTCACCTTATACAGATAGCAACCCAGATCTGCAGCCAAGTCCTGGTTTCACAGTTACCTCATTTCCTGCTCCTGGCAGGAAGCTCTTCACAGTGATTGTGCGTCCGGGAGCAGGGAAAGGGGCCTCCATGACACTGCGCATGAATGGATACACCAAGGCTGGGGACATCTCTCTCCTCTTCTCTACCTCATCCAGAATCTGCAGGAAAACAACCTCTGGTGAGGACTAGGGGTGAAATATATCCCTAGATGCATGACCACAAACTGCTGCTCCAATAATCAGGGCTCTAATCCAGATTTACACCTTGACTCGCACCTTGGGGAGGGCTCCTGCACAGATGTGTCACATAGGGACACCAAAAGACAAATAGGGAGTGGACAAGGTTAAAAATCAGCTGGTGATACCATGAATGGAAGCAAGGAACTGGCTCTGTGGGCCCCAGCATGGTCAATAAATCTCATTACATTGCTGAGAACTCCCATCATAGGAGGGACATGCCCACTTCAGGAATAAAACTGCTGTTGGAATTGAATGGGTTGATTTCCAGCAGTGTCAAGTACCTTCAGCTCCCACTGACTTCAGTTTTGAGACATCCCTTTTACCCCTCTTCAGAATCTCGGATTCCTCCCAGACAAGCATATAGTGGTCAGATATTTAGTTACAGAGCTGTGAAACCAGTCAGAATAGAATCACTGACATGGCAGCTAACTGATATTTGCACACCCCATGGGCATGTAAGTAGGAATGAGGAGATGACATGAAGAGAAGAGACACTAAGGCTTGGCATTAGGAACCTTTTCCTGAGATTGAAGGGGATTTGGCTGTGGAATGGTCTCCCAAGTGCTAGAGTCATTTAAACTGGGCTAGACAAAGCACTAGATAACATGCAGCAGGGAACCAACCTGCCCTGGGTCAAGGTTACTATTGTCAGATGCAGCAATGCTATTAGAGGCTGTACTACAACAGCTCAGCTATTTCCTGGAGCTCTCAAGCTATCAGAAAGGCATTTTGAGAGGCACAGGTCTGACTCCAATGCGACAGGTTGTAGCGCGTGGGGTAGGCTGCTCACTCACCTTGGAGAAGAGGTTGAAACAGCCCAGGCGGCTCACCATGCAGTACACCTCTGGGAGCCGCTTCCCTTTCCCTTCTGGCTACAAGGCAAGGGGAATGCAGAGAGTTACACCTGGAGCAGAGCAAGGGAAGCAAGGCAGCGAATGCCCATGCCAGCGCTTGAGTGATATTGAAGCCTCCCAACGTATTCAGCCCATGTGACTGGATTTCACACCGAGTGCTTTTCGGTGCAAATCCCTCTGCACTCAATTAGAAACTCAAAGTGAGTAAGGAGTCCCAAGAACTGGCTCTTGCGCCCACACACACACCCCCACTTCATTCTAGGCATTGTGTGCCATGGGGTATGGACAACACCACACACCTTCCCTCTGCACTGCTGCTCCACCCTCTGTCAGAGGGCTGGTAACCCCAGAACCGGCATTAAGAGCAATGTAGCTCACACCTAGCCAACAAGCTGCTGCTGATCTAGGTCCTAGCTGGACCGCAAAACCCTCCACCCCCATCAGTGTGGACCCTCTCTATGGCAGCATGTCTCACAAACAGCGGCTTACCAAGAGCTTCTTGCAGTAACCGAACCAGCGGCTGCCATCCTCGCCTGTCAGCACGAAGGAAAAGGTTTCACTGGGGAGCCCAAGAACAGTCAGAGTCAGACTCACCATGCAGTTCACTGACGGTGGAGGAGGGGGACCCACAGGGGAGCAGGTCAGTCGGGGGCTGACGTAATGTGGAACAAGTGCAACACCCCACACCCCATCTGCAGCCCTTTGATCTCAATGTGGGAGACCTAGAAAGCTGCTCCCTGGCTTCGGATTCCTTCCCTCCCACACATAGGGGGACGGGATGCCTGTAGGCTGCAGAAGATTCCTCATCAGGATGCCATCTCCAAGCTCCTCCACTCTGCCGAGCACCAATAGCAGCAGCCAATGCGGGCAGGAACTAACCCCGAGACAGTGCTGCAGACTCTGCATGGGGTGAAGGGGACCACCCCTGCACCTCATCCTCCCCTAACACTCTAGATTATGGGATCAAAACCTCCAGCAAGTTCTCCTTCCCTTGGCCTCTCTCTTCCATTTCATCCTGATTCAGCTACAGCCACCTGGGCTTTGCCAGAGAGGCTGGCAGATGCCTACACACCCAGCACTGGCACCACGTCTCTCTCAGTTACTTCAGTGGGAACCCAGAAACCAGTATCTATTCACAACACAAGCCTTTACCTTTTGAGCTCTGATGTTGGAAGCCAGGCTTTGGGATCTGGAAAGCAGAACTTGGGGATGACCTTTAGCCTCTCCTCGGTATCCTTTGACTGCCTGAAGGGATGCTCGGGCTGGGAAAGATGACACATGGCTGTTATACAGGGCAGCTCTCCCAGGATCACAGAACAATGGCGGCAGCATTCACTGTAATAGGCATTGTCTCCACCCTGCAGCAGGGGCTTGTGTGCATCAACCCCCAAAAGCCTGATGTAGGGACTGCAGGAGAATATACTCTGGCTACACCAAATTCCCAGCTTCTTATACCGCTCCATGCAGCTCAAAGCACAGAGCCCCGGTTCAGCCTTGACAACAGATTCAGCCCAGGTCTCTTTCTGGTCTGGTACACACTTCTGTATCATTACACAGTGCTGATGCTCAGCTCCCCAAAGAGAAAAGCTAATTCCTGGTCCCACGTTTCAAACGGAACAGACTTTTTGCTACATCCTGTGCCGAATAGGTTTAGCTGAGGATATAGCTTAGCGACATTTCCCAGCTTATAATGTAATAAAGCTGGGAGAGCTCCCCCTAGTGATCACTGCAGGGTGAGACTGTCCCATTCAGTCCTCTTGAGAAAAAACAACAACAAGGAGTCTGGTGGCACCTTAAAGACTAACAGATTTCTTTGCGCATAAGCTTTCGTGGGTAAAAACCTCACTAACATAACAGAAATATCTTCTCAAGGTTACACTTGTGTGTCTGTAATAGGTGGAGATCCCAGCTTGCACAGTAAGGAGAGTACATCCCTTCTATGGTCTGTTACAAAGGGAGGGAAGGGAGCAAGGTTTCGTGCATCATTAAGAGATGAGAAGGGCACAAATTCTTTGACATCAGGTTCTGCAGTTACCTCCATTCAGCCAGAGACAAAGTCCCTCAGAGAGAACAGGAGCACCTCCACCTTCAGAACTGCTCAGGAAGGACAGAGTGGGATTCATTTAGTCCCTGTGGGACCACTGACTCAGCTGCATTTGGAGTAAGGGATTCAACCATTTATGGGAAACATCAGAGACAGAAAAACATATGGTCTTTTCCAAGGAATGCAAGTCATATTTGGGAGTCACGCTTTCAATCACTACACAGTTCAATTGGAACTTCAACATCACTTCAAGTGTCACAAGATGAGACAGGTTAGAAAGGTAACATGGCTGGCCTCCAAAGGATGCCCGTTGCACAGGAGTTTTGCTGGCCCCAGACAGCCCATGGAAGAGGGGGACAGGCAGATTACTTGGGAGCAATGCTATTTTTAGAGTCAAGACTCATCTGTAATCACAGCACCCAAGGTATAATCAGTGCTCCCTAATTACTGGTATGATATTTCCTCATGAATCCCAGCATGAAAGACCCTCCTGTGTAAATCTGGTTACATTCAACAAAATATTCTAAATCAGGCAAAGAGTAAACAGACATTGAGAAAATCATTAGTTTTGTCAGTATCATTATAAAACCAGGCCAACAGCCATGTGGTGCAGACTGGAATTGATCCACTGAGGAGGTGCAGTAGGGAAGGAAGATGCTCTGCCCCTCCGCAAAGGCTCTGATGGTCACAGGGAGGAAGAACTCACTCAAACCACATTTTCACTGCCTTTCAATATTGGGAGTTTATCAGCTCCGCTCATTTTCACCCTGTTGAACAGACTGATCTCTGGGACTGGCAGTGTTCCTTTCCGTGTTTTGTGAGTCACCGAGTCCGTTTAACCATAATCCTCTCAACGGCATGTCAAACACTTGGAGCTCTGGACGCAGTAGGTTCCCTTGCCGCCCCAGTTACCCTCCCAGAATGGAGGAATGACTGCACCCCCTACAGAAAGGGCACGCTAATTCCCAACAATAACTTTTTCTTTTTGCAAGAACCAGGGAGACTTCTTTTCTGGAAACTTGAAAATCCACAGTATCTTGTGGTGCACTGCTGAGGCAGCCCACAGGAGAGGAGAGGAAATGCAACTGTAGAGCCAAAGCTGGACTGACCTCATCCTGGCTGCTGTTGATACACAGACAAGGAGGGATGTGTTGACTCACGCCGCATAGGAAACAGTGACTAGATTCCATGGGGTTTCATTCTCTTTTTCCCCAAATATCAAGATGACAAGCCGCATAAAGCAAACTGAACAAAACCGAGACCAACTATGCCAGCTACAGAGCCATAAGCAAACTCATCGACTACAGCAAGGCTTTCATTCTGCATGTTCAGACCCAAATGCATAGCAAAGGGCAGCCTCAGAGATCCCTCACACTAGCCCTGGTGTGACCAGAACTGCAAGGAGTGAGAAGAGTGATAAATGTGAGATCTATAGGGAGGTGAATTGTAGTTTGCTCCACGGTCCTACACGGAATGGAGTTTTCAGATGTTATTGTCTGCCCAGGCTTTGAGAAGGTCCCTGTCACTGGTATCTGAGCACCTTCCACAAGAAGTAAAAACAAATAATCTCTTCCAGCCCTGCCATCATGGAGTGGGGAGAGCAGTTCTCATTTCATAAAAGGGCTCAGCAGCAACCTTTTCAGTTCAAATGACTTCAGAGGAAACCCAACCCCCTCCTGGGCTTGATTCTCTCTCAGCACTAAGCAATTGCAAAAGAGTTTTACCATGTGCTTCTACTCCCTGCCAATCCCACCCACGATACCAGATTCTAGGGGTGATTGTCCCACTAACACTAGGTTCTTTGTGGGTTTCTGACACATCCAGCACACTGGGTTAGTATCCGAGCACTCTGTGGAAATGCGTCTCAAGCCATGTGCTGGGAAGCAGAATACAGCCTGCCACAACACAAACCCAGCTGTATCCCTATTACAAAAGGAACTTGGTAAATTACTGTTTATAGTGCAGCAGAGGACAGGCCCAAGTTAACTGCTGCCTGGGCACTTTAGGGCTCTGCACAGCAGCTCTACCCCTTCTCATGTGAAAGCCAGAACAGGTTTAATAACTGCTCCAAGTGACACACGGTCTCACTACATGCTGGACCCTGCTGTTCTCCTGGCTCTAGCACCACACTCAAAAGGGGGAAGGAACAGCTGCCTGCATGTACAGGATTTAAAGCAGCAAGGTTAACAACTGGAGTAAAACGGTCTCTTCGGACCAGCATTTAGATCACTTTCTACCAGCACCCTTCAGGAGACCAGAGAGAAGAGAAAAAACTCCTCACTTCCGAGAGGCTCCAGAGCAAACAACGGGTTCAAACACTGCAGGCTCAGTAAGAATCAAGGACTGGTGGTGCCACTCCCTCTTTGTGCGTAGCAGGGCAAGTGTCACAGGAGAGGACGTTTTCCCCATGAAAATCTTGAAGTCATATGCATTTTAATATGGCCAAATGTCAAGTCATACCTCTGGGAACAAAGAAGGCAGGCCATACTTACAGACTGGGGGACTCTCTCCTGGGAAGCAGCACCGGCTGGCTGCGCATTGTGAAAAGGACTTGGGGTTATGTGAATAATCAGCTGAACATGAGCGCTCAGTGCGACACCATGGCCAAAAGGGCTAATAGAATTCTTGGATAGTAAAAAAAAAAAAAACCCAAACAGGAAAATCTTGAATAGAAATCTAGAGAGGTTATTTTACCTCTGTATTTGGCACTGGTGTGACCGCTGCTGGAATAGTGTGTCCAGTTCTGGTGCCCACAGCTCAAGGAGGATGTTGATCAATTGGAGAAGGTTCGGAGAAGAGCCACGAGAATGATTAAAAGATTGGAAAGTATGCCATATAATGAAAGAGTCAAGGACCTCAACCTACTGAGCTTAACAAAGAGGTTACGTGACTTGTTCAGTCTGCAAGTATCTATCCGGGTAACAAATTCAATAATAGAGGGCTAACAGACAAAGGTATAACAAGATCCAATGGCCTCAATTTGAAGCTAGACAAATTCAGACTTGAAATTAGGTGCAAAATTTTAACCATGAGAGTAATTAACCATTGGAACAATTTACCAAGGGTTGTGGTAGTGGATTCTCATCTCTGGAATTTTTAAATTAAAATTGGATTTTTTTATTTTTTATTTTTTTTATTTTATTTTTTAAGAGATGTGCCCTAGTTCAAACAGGAGTTAATTCAGGGAAGGCCTGGGGCCTGTGTTACACAGGACGTCAGACCAGATGATCACAATGGTCCCTTCTGGTCATATAAATGATGAAGAAATTCACCCTTTGCAGGAGAAATGTATCTGTTTACTGTCCCATTAATATAGTGCCCCAAGCATCCCAGTCTTTACTGTGTTTTCCTCCCAACACCCCTGTGAGGTAGGGAAGTGCTGTCACCGGGAAAATGAGAGAGAGGATGGGTGACTTACTCAGAGTGTCTGTGGCAGAGCCAGAAGTTGAACCCAGGTGGTTAGAACCCTAACTACTGGACATCCTGGCTGTGCTCATCTGCACAGAGCCAGGGAGGAGGGAAATGCTGGGAGGGAAAAATAATTCAGCAGATAAAGTGAAGCTGATGGGACTGGGCATCTGCGCGGCACCCACCTTGCTGGGGAACTGCTGTATGACCTGTGGGGTGTATGTCGTCTCCGACTGCTTCTTCTGCAGGGACACCACCACAAAAAGCTCAAACAGCTGCTGCTCCTGGAATTCAATCAGATCCCGCTCCAGGGTCTGATAGTGCGGGTTCCTCTTGGAGGTCAACTGTACTTGCAGCAGGCGTTTGTGGTGACCTGAGAGATAAGGACCAATTCAGTGACAGGAGGCTGGGGCTGTAACAGTGATCATCTGAGGCTCTCAAAGTGTTTAAACAAGGGGAAGTCTCATTATTTGCATTTCACAAGTGAAGAGGTGAAGGGACTTGCCCAAGGTCACACGGCAGGTGAGTGGCAGAGCTGGAATGGATGTCAGGTGCCAACACTGAGCCTAGTGCCTCCTTCCCAGAGCAGGACACCCCAGCTCAGCTCCCACAAGCACAAAGCACCCAGAGACACACAGTAATGTCCCCAGCCCCTTTGCCTGGTGGATTTTATCAGAAGCCCAACACCTTCAACTCCTCTATAGGCTCGTTTTTTTGTCACGTCCCAGAGACTCCCCCCTAACCTCTAGCAGCACGGAGGAACTCATGTGTCTGAGTGCTAACAAGGCTGCTGATGGGGAAGACTGTGAGAAGGGGCCTCCTTCTGTCAATGGGGCGTGTGTGTGGGTGGGTGTGGGGGGGTAATCTCCATAATGCTGCCACACTTCAGGCAATTACATCATAAGAGTGGCAACTTTAGCAGTAAGGGAATTCAAAACTGAGGCAGAATCCATCCCCTCCCCTCCACCCCATCCAGCCTGTCCCACGCAGCATCACAGACTCTCCCTACAAGAGGCATGGGAAACGCTGGCATAGCCAGGGGGCTGTAAAGGGTCTGTGACACATGCTCTGTGGGTTTGTACTATCCGGCCAGACTCACTCGGTGACTCATTTGCTCTATTTTAAGACAGCCTACCACCCCCACCCCCCAAAACACAGAGGGATGGAGTTTTGCCATTATCCCCAAATTATGGGCTTTTGTACGTCATCTACAGGAAGGAAACATTTAAAGCAATCCAACTGGTTCCTTGTCACTGGGTACTTCCAGCACGTAACTATCACATTAACAGGCATGCTAGACAGATTCATCTGTAGTAAGTTCAGGGCTGCAGGCAAATTTTTTACTATTTCATTTCCCAACTCTGGGAAGTGGAAGCTCAGATCCCTTCTGTGCCAACTAGAGCAGATTAGTCAGCACTGAACGCCTAGATCTGAGCCTGTAGTTCTGGTTGTCCTGCCAGTGTTTACGTCAAGCCAAGGAACCAAACTATCTACTTCTCGCTGACTCCCTTCCAAACAGGGCATTTCACAGCATGGCAAACGTGAACAGAGAAAAGGGGTACAGTGCTCAGTTCTGAGCACCAGAGACGATCCACGGGGGTGAGTTACTCCAAGACACGCATTTTACTTAGAGGAGGGAGTGACCCCAGGGTGACTGCAGGTGAGTGGCACAGCCCAAGAGGCTGAGAGACCTGGCACATGGGGCTCGACATGCAGATTCAGTCCCCTCCAGATCCTTTCATCTCACTTTTCACAAGAGGCTGGTTTGACACAAGAGTAGCAGCTTCTTACATTATCTACAGGAGGCACAAAAACCTCAGGAGTGGCTAATCCCATATAGCCCTGCCAGCATTAATTATGCTATGGCAATAGGACCAGCCCCAGTGACTCACTCACTCACTTTTCGGCAGATTCTCCGTCTCACTTTCATTCCCGCTGGTTTCACCTGAAACAAGAAACAAGGCTTCCATAAAATCATAGTTGCCATGGTAAGGGGGGTGACACCCATGGCTGCAGAAGCGGCCGCATCCGAGACCTCCCTTAAGTCTACACCATGTAGGGCTGCTCGTTAGCCATCTTGTTCATTACATAAGTCTCAGTAAAAGCAGCCCTTCGCTAGTAATAATATAAATCCCAAAGAACATCAGAGATGAAGTCAGATCCACCACTTCCAGGGAGATATTGACCAGGAATGGAGATTCTGAATAGGTATTTAAGCCCTCTAGGTGAGTTAGCAACACTCTGGGGCTGGAAACAGTTTGTATTCTTTATTTAAAGTTGTTAGGAAACCAAAGCAGCTTTGGAACCCAAGTGTCTCTCCCCAGAGGGCCACCTGAAAGCAGCATGAGAGGGCAACAACAGGTGATCTCACGACAAATAGCTTTAACACCTCAGCATGGAGCTACCCCAGCGCTGAAGACTCAGACACAGAAAGGGATCTTCCCTATGGAACACTCTCAAACTTGGATTAAAGAGAGGTACAGGGCTTGATTTGCAGAGGTGCTGAACACCCAACAAGTCCCATCGGAGTCAGTGCAAGAGGCAGGAGCTCAGCACCTGTGAAAAATCAAACCGCTGTGGTAAAGTTTGCTCGTTCTCCGAGCAGTAGCTGCAGTATGAAGCCCCCATTGTGCTGACAGGACTGTGGCGTGTTGTGAATTAGACATGTCCGTTGTCATGTCACAAGTGTGCTATGTAATGAAGAGAATGGTGCAGGCCGTCTCCAGACCTTTTGCTGGTGGAGCTTCTTTCCCTGTATAAGCGAGTAACTTCACCCTCTTCTTCCCACGTTTAGACTCAAAGATCTCCTGTATTTTTAACACAAGCTGGAATCCAAAGAGAAAGCAATCGTTAATACAGGCCATATGCACATGAGAGGCGGTGGCAAGTGGCAGCGAGGCTGCAAAGCACATAGAAGACCTTCAGCAGATGCAACCACATTCAGTAAAGGCTTTGCAGAACCCTTGCTAAAGAGATATGGTCACAATGCTGTTAACACAACTCCCTGGATACTGGGCATTCTACAGGGTCTAACAGGACTGGGAATAATTACTATAAGAGTCAGAGACATACAGAGCACCATGGAGAAGGAAGGAAACAAGCAGCACTTGTGCTCTAGCAGCAGACTACTTGCTTTATATTTGGCTTATCAAGCAGGCTGCACAGGCAGCCGGGACTAGGATACAGGGAGGTCTGAGGCTACGAACAAGACAAACCAACCATAAAGGAACTTGCAGCAGCATCCTATAGGATTTGCCTCCAGAAAGCCTTCTGCAAAGGATCCAGAACTCTGTGCAACTGCAGGTACCCCAATCCTTTCTGAGCCCAGCCAGAGCTCCTCAACGTAGCTTGGCCTAGTTTCCTTGGATTGTACAGAATGCACTGACAATTTGAGACCCCAGTATGTTTTCTAAAGCACAGAGTCCTCAATTTTCTATGTGTGTAACACCACAACAGACACGGGAACTGCCCCAAGGCATTTCCTTAGCTGAACGGTTATAAAAACCCAAGCATTTGTATTTTCTATACAGACGCCCCATGGGTTACGCAAACCCGACTTACACAAATCCACACTTACGGAAAAAGTTCCATAAGCTAGAAATAGGAGGGTGTGTTTTTGTTTTGGGGTTTTTTTGGGGCACATAATTGTCAGGTATATGTTTCCAACTTACGCAAAATCAAGTTACGCAAGGCATTCCGGAACAGAATGCTTGCGCAAGTCGGGGAACGTCTGTACTCTAGCATGCCCAGAGGGGACAGAATGCTGTGTCTGCCCCACAGGGGCCCAGTCTACAAGAAGAAGAAACCTGAACATTACCACTGCCGTATGTGGGCTAAGCAATAGAAGAGAGAAAGGCACCAGCATTCTAACATGCAGGGCAGAAGCAGCTGGATTTCTGTGGATTCGATTGGCTTTTAAAGCCTTTGCTAATACCAAACCCGCAAGGATTTCTGAAATGGGCACCACTGGCGCTGAGGGTGTTAAAAGGCATCTCCACTGCCATCCTAAGGCACTGTGTGCCCCAAGACGCAGGCAGGACTGGAGGGAGCTCCTTGTTGCTATGCGTTGGAGCCTGCTAGTATTTCTGATTCAGGAGTGGGGTGATTTATTTTTTAAACACAGTGGGGAGGTCAAGTTCTCTCTTGCCCAGTGTTAAGAATCCATACATGCTCCCAGCAAAGGTAGTAGGGTGGGGCCCAGTTATTTCTGTCTCTCCTCCCCCCCTCCCCCCCCCCCCCCCCCCCCCCC